TCCTAAAAGGGAATGGTTATTTATGCTTATTGAGAAGTCAGGTAAAACCCAAAGGTTATCCCGAATTGCCAATTAGAATTTACATTGGTGAGAGTCAGGCGTGGTGACACACACATGCAGTCTCAACATCCAGGAGGCTGGGGCAGGAAATTCAAGGCAGGCCTGGGCTACATAGTGAGACCCCAACCCCAAAACACACAGATGCACACAGACACGTGCAGCCTCAGAGCAGAGTTATGAAGAGGATGAATAAGGGTGTGTGTGTGGGGGGGGAATGACTGGAACGTACAGGTAGTTGAATGTTGAGGATACTTGAAGAATCACAACATTCTGGGACTGGAGAGATGGCTTTGCAGTTAAGAGCACTTGCTTGCTGTTCCAGAGGACTTAAGTTCAGGTTCTAGCACCCAAGTCGGGCTGCAGTTCAAAACCACTTGTGACTCTAGTCCCAGGGTATTCAACACACTCTTCCGGCTTCAGCAGGTGTGTTCTCTCTCTCTCTCTCTCTCTCTCTCTCTCTCTCTCTCTCACACACACACACACACACACACACACACACACACACACACACACACCAAAAAAATCACAAATGCCTATGTTTTTTTAAAGTGTACTGTTTGAGATTAAGAGAGACTGGCCACACAAACATGGAATAATGATTGAGGGACTTCTACTTGATGGGGGAGCTACTTAATTATATATATGAGCCACTGGGAGGGACAGTTGGAAAAGGTGCAATTGAAGATGTAAGGATAATAAATGCTCAATAGCAGCTTACCTGCCTGAAACAGCCTCTGCCTTCCTTCCGCATTATGATTTGCTGTGGAATTGAAAACAGCATTGCTAAACCTGTTAGATGTATCCATAAATCAAATATTTACAGGCTTAAGCCTTTGAGGAAAGTGACATTCTTGTGACCTTCATCTTTGCCAGGAAGTTGAAGTGTTACTATTTTGGGATATCTTAAAATAAGATGTATTGCTACTAAATCTAGTTATACAGAGAAGAGCGAGGATGATGTAAGATTCTCAGGTATGCCCTAGATCTAGGCGGTTTATCCTCAAATTCATCCTCCAGGGTTCTTGAAAAGAAGCAACCACCTACTCTTCATGCCGTCTCCCCATTCTCCCCTTTTTCAGTATGATAATCTGTTGCTCAATTTATTTATTTATTTTTAACTCTTAGCAGTAAAGAAAAGTCACAAATTATTTGGCCCTTTGTTTCGATTGCCCGCCCCTAATTTTCATTTCCCTCCGTTGCACCCATGTGAAGCAAGTGAAGACCCAACACTGCTACAGGTACTTGCTCTGTGAGTTTATTGCTCAATTTGAGCAGCAGCGGAGGATAGAATTATTTTCTGTACTATTACATAACATTGTTAATATTCTCTAAATATGCAAATTTCCAGAAAAATAAGCCTTTAATAGGTACTAAATTATTGCATAAATGTATTGGGCCAGAGTGATAGGTTTCCTGGTAACATCTTGCATTTAAAAAAAAATCCAGTAACTCTTTGTTGCAAATTTTACTGCAGTTTTTAGCTTTTTCTAATTATAAAAAGAAAAATTAACTATAGGTGTTTTGGGAGAAAGAAAGAGGTTATCAGAAGGGTAGCTATGTGACAAAGCTAGGTGTCTCTGGCTGTAGACCTCGTAGCAACTGCCAGTTGGATCGTTTTCATGGGAAGTTTCACAGGTTGTTCCCAGCTAAGTAGCTCCGGTCACAGTACCAGGCTCTTCTCTGCAGTCGCCCTAAGCACCAGCCGGTTTGTAAAGTATACCTTGCATCTTGCAGGGGCTGCCCACAGCTCTCAGAGCAGAGTTCACATTTTTCAGTTGGGTAACAGTAACGTTCACGATTGAACATTTGCCAGCCACATCATGTTACCCTTTCCACCTCTGGCATGAGCCCCAAACATCTCTAGTTCCTCGCATATGTCAGGTTCCTTTTGCCTCCCTTTATGTTCATGGAGTGTCCTCCATTTCCTCTTTTTGTTTTACAGTAATAATAATAATATCTTTGGTCTTGCATTAGCTCAAATGTAAGGGAAATTCCAGGAAATGGTCAAACCTTAGACTGCCTCTTGTAGTTTCACTAAGTGTTAGTGCAGTGTGACCTTTTGTGACATTCATCATACAGTCAGTATGCCTTACTCACCCGTCGTCCCCTAAAGTATCAGACATGAGAGCACTAGCTAAGACAGTGGAGTTCTTTAATAAAACCGTATTAAATTTGCTGCTGCTTTGAAGATTTAATATTTTGGATTAGCATTTATTTATATTACACATAAGGAACATTGATAGAGATAATCATGATTACCTTTCCATTCCATTACTAGAAAGACAATTTTTCATTAGTGAAAACAGTAGAAAAAATTGCTTGTGTTGTTAATGAAGCAATGGTCACCATTGATTTTAAATATTACTAAAAGTTTGTTTAGAGGGAAGAACTATTTGAAATTTTCAGAAAAGTTATGATGTAAATGATATAGTTTAATAAGAGACTCATTTTGATAAAATTTGAACATACTCCATTTTGTACCTAAAATTCCATGAAGCAATATTCATATCTGAATTCAATGATTAAGCCCCATGATTCTTCAGTATTTTACTACAATCTTATGAGATACTTAATTGGTGGTGGATTTATGCTCTTTGAGATTAGATTTATAAATATAAAATAATTTAAAATGCCCTGGCTATATAAAGAAAACTATTACCCTTTGAGTGCTATTTAAAATTTTCAACCACATAATCACACATTTGGAAATACAGAAAAGTAAACAATACTAATATGCAGATGAACTACACATTAGCAATAGCACCACAGGCTGTTTGTGAGGACTGATTGATAATATATGTAAAGCCTTTCTTACTGCTTAATATAGTTTAGCTGCTGGCAGTATTTGTTTCTCCTTGCTCATTTTTCAAAGTTAAAAATAGATCATTTCTCAAGATTATAAAAATTACACAACTAGCAATAAATAAAAAAAGTTAGTAATGACTAGTAAACACTTTGACATTGCTGCTCCTCCAATTCGTTATGTTTGTACAGAAATTACTATGTTACAATGATTAGTGGGCAGGAGAGGATGTAATTTGTGAATGAATTTTCCTACTGAATTGCCCTTACCTGAGTTCCAGGGTAAGATATAAAGTCATTAGCCCAATGGACTGAAGAGATGGCACAGTGCTGTAGAGCAGACGCCCCTTCTCAGTGACCGAGTTCCCCAGCACCACATCTGGAGGCTCCCGCCCACGTAACTCCAGGCCCAGGGTGTCTGATACTCTCTTCAGGACTTTATTGCCTTTTGCATTGGCCTGGGCATACGTGCATGTGCACGTGTCCCCTCTCTCTCTCTCTCTCTCTCTCTCTCTCTCTCTCTCTCTCTCTCACACACACACACACACACACACACACACACACACACAATTAAAATAAGTCTTCAGGGTTTTTTCTTGACTATTTTTAGCACAATACAGGCCTGAGACATGTGTTAGTGGGGAAAGGCACTTGCTGCCAAGCCCAGGGTCTGAGTTTAGTTCTAGGGATCCACGTGATAGAAGAGTTGTCCTCTGCAAGTTGTCCTCAGACCTCTACCAGGCATGCCATGACATCTACCCTATCCCCCATAAATAAATGAAATAAAGTTTTTGTTTTTAAAAAATAATTTATTTTTATTTTATTTGCATTGGTGTTTTGCCTGCATTTATGTCTGTGTGGGTGTCAGATCTTGGCATTACAGACAGTTGTGAGCTGCCAGATGGGTGCTGGGAATTGAACCCGGGTCAGTGTTCTTAACTGCTGAACCATCTCTCTAGCCCACTAAACTTTTTATTTTTAAGTATGAGCATGATAGAATAAAGAAAAACATTTTCAGTCAGGCACAAGTTTGCCCCTTTCCCTGCTATTCAGATAGGGTCATAGAGTTGAGTTCGGTTTAATTGTGCTTTTTCCATGTTTTTAATAGTTTATTTTCACTATCCAAAGCAGTTTTATTCATACAAAATATATTTTCTCATTTAGATAAGGAAAATTGATAAGCCTATTGGTTTTTCCATGTGAGTTTTGTTCATAGACCTCTTAATATTTCTGAATGCCTAACATTCTGAAGTCACTTGTTAAGTATGCTTCTGTGTTTTATTAGTGTCTTTATAGGATGTAAATTCTCTGGGGACAATGCCATATCTGTATCTTTTAATCCTTCTGTCCCAAGCAAAAGCCTTGGCACAGACTGACAAATAAATATTTGTTCAAAAAAATAAGTGTGCAAAAGCAATCATATTACAAACATATTCTTTGATTTGGTTCAAATAAAATTTATTGCGCCCTTAGATTTGTAGTGCTAAAGAACAGCTGCATTGATAGTGAATTTACACTGCTGTATATTTCCGTTTCCTTCATTTCTCTGGGTCAGTTTGGTTTCTCTTCATTCTCTTAGGCTTAGGTTTAGAAATGCTGAGAACTAAACAGCTGGCCCTAGTGAGGCCTTTGTATTTATTTTGCTTATGATTCATGTATAAAAACAGTTTCGTAGGAGGAGGACATAGCAACTACTCCCCGACCTGAACCTTTCTTGCTGATTTTCAGAACAGTAGAACACAAAGAATGGCTTTGTATTTTATTCAGATAGATATGGTCTTAAAATCTTTGATTTAAATTAAGAATTTTGCAAGACAAATAGTGACTGACTCACCGAAAGTGTTTATTATTTCTAAGAGCTGCTGAAGTCCGGTATAGACTTCCTAACATTAGTTGCTGTTACTGTTTTGTGTTTATTAACATAGTAATTATGCTACTAATAAAAATGTTAACAGTAAAATATGACTGCAGTAATGTCCAGTTATTTACCTTTGCTATAGCTCATCAAAGTAACATTTCTGAGTGTATCTCTTGATTAACCTCACACCTCCTGTCTGGTTTTGGTAACAGCATGCTTCTACTGCTCTTTAGTGAAGTGCCCTGACCTTACCTTTGTCTTGACTGGCTTCTGTTTTCAGAGATTGTAAACCAGTTGAATGCTCTGAGCAGCTTAGATGAAGATCCAGATGACTGCATAAAGCAAGCACATATGCCTTCAGCTAGATCAGCCAGTTCCTCTGAAGGTCTAAGCTTTACTCCTGCTGCTTCTGTTGCCTGTTTCCTGTGACTCGCTTTGCTCTGCCTGTCTGCTGAGCTGTCAGTTTTGTCCTTGTCTAAGTTCTTGAATGTTCTCTGTGGTAATTTGTAGTGCACCACCCGACAACAAGATAACAGACCTCATCCTTAACAAGTTAGTTAGCAACGGCTTGATATGAGTTATTCTAATCACCTGAGTATTCTTAATCACATAGTGTGTTTCTTCTTTATTGAACTTACTATCATACATACACTTAGTATTTGAGTCTCTATCTGTTTACAAGTCTATTCAGCACTCAGAAATCAAATTTGGCTGACATAGAACGTTTCTTTACTATAGTTCATTTTCTGATGTAATTCCCACATTAAATATGTTCCTTCTGGTTTATTTTCAAATGTTGGTGTACTACAAAATACTTGAATGGCATGCTGCCACTCATAAAATACTGTCTTATTATTTGCAGGTATTATTAATGTGAATTTTAATATATTACCAAAGCTTATGATTCGTTATGTCTGTGATGAACTTCACACGTGCATTTATTTTCAGAACTTATCAACACACTTAACTTTTTGGATGATGCACAAAAGGACTTGGCCACTGTGAATACAAATCCATTTGATGAACCTGATGTAACAGAATTAAATCCATTTGGAGAGCCTGACTCAGAAGGTAACATGTTCATTTATAAGAAATAAATCCAAAGGTTTTTCCACCTAAATGATTTTTCTCTTCTTAAAAATGTATGTGTGTAAGTATGTATGTGTTCTTTTCTCATATAGTAGTCTAGACCGCATTTCTCCTTCCCTCCTCTCCTTCCCATCCCTCACTCCACCTCCTTTCTACCCCAGATCCACTCCTCTATTTCCCCGTCAGAAAAGAGCAGGACCCCCAGAGATGTCAGCCGAGCATGGCATAACAAGTTACAATGAGACTAGGCACATACCCTCATACCAAGGCTAGAGGAGGCAACCCGAAAGGAGAAAAAGGGCCCCACAAGCAAATCATTTTTCTTACCAAGTCATCTTAAACTCTTAATGCTTGAATAAGGGCTGTTGAAGAAGTGAGACTGCTGTTTAATTAAACTCCTTGCTCAGAATAAACACAAGGATGATTGACTTCTGACTACGTCCCCTGACTGCTCTCATGAAATCTTCAGGAGCTTTCAATTGCTCTGAGACCGGCAGGATGGAAACAGTGTTTCAGCTTCAGGAACCACTCGTTCCTTCTGCTCCTTGAGGGTGGTGTCATTTCCTGCTCTTTCTCTTCCGGGCCTTTCTCACTTCACTCCCAATTAGTCTGTTTAAATAAGTGAGGTTTAATTTTGTTTGTGAGCTATGGATTATGAACATATTTAAAATATTAAAAATTGTTATGTTAAATTTATAGTAAGTCTCAAGCACCGTTTTCTATAGAAGATTAGATCTCTAAGGCTTAAAGGAGTGAGGTGAGGTGACCTTGACCTCTGTCGCTCTCTATCTTGTTTTTATTTTTGATCTTATTTTTTTAAAAAATAAAAAAAAATTGTTTATTTTTCTGAAATGGGCTCCAGGCTAGAACTTAGAGTTTAGGCTAGAGTGACAGCCCCGGGGATCAGCCCCTGCACCTATCAGGAGTTCTGTGTTAAGGCTGCCATGTAGACGCTGGGGATCCAGACCCAGGCCCTCCTGCTTACACAACAAGCACTCACGAATGAGCCTTCAAGTTACTTCTCAAAATTTCAATAACGAACTTTTCGTTTCTACTTAGTGATATTGTTAGAATTGTCTGGCATAATTTAAATTACTTTTAATATGCTATATTATTTGGCTTGCTCTACTTACTCTAGAAACCCCCTATTTTTAGCACCAAAACTGTGTTCAAATTTGTTTTCAAATTAAAATTTGAGTGTTTTAAAAGTAAACTTAGTATAACACATTTGTGTGTTTACTTTCATGATTTAATTCTCCTTCTCACACTTTTTCTCTTCAGAACTGAGGACTGGACCCAGGACTTCGTGCTTGCTAAGCAAGCTCTCTACCACTAAGCTAAATCCCCCGCCCCACCAAGCTTGCTTTTATGGTGTTCTTGTTCATTAGATTTAAGTTTCTTGGCTCTGAAAGGTTGAGGTTAGAACTGGATATAACATAGCTCGGTACTAGAATGCACATGGCCCTCTCTTCACCCCCACCTGCTCTCTCCAGCAGCAATGTATGAGTATATGTTGTTTACAGTCCAGAGTAAATGTATTGATACCTAGATGGTGTATTCTGGGATAGCTACCAAGTATCATTTTTTTTAAAAAAAAAATCCATTTTTATGTTCTATTAAAAATCAGATTTACTCTGCTTTAATTTGTGATGGCAAGCTCTTATAGTGAGATAAACAGTAATCCTGCACTCCCAAGTAGTTTAAAACTTTTAAGTTTATATGCTATCACACTAGTATCAGACCCTTCGCACGCTGTCGTGAGGGAGGCTGGAGAGAGAATACAGGTAAGGAGCGTGTACTGCTCTTGCAGAGGACCCTTCTTTACTTCATAGCACCCATCTCAGGAGACTCACAATCACACCTAACTCCGGCCTTATCGTGCACAAATCCGCGTGCACACATATATGCCCCCTTAAAAGACAAAAATCAGTCTTTTAAGGCTGTCATGAGCTGTTAGCATTCTAAAGAGGCAGGGTTCAAGAGTTGTCATCCTAAAGAAGTAAGTAGAAATCCTACAATTTATGTTTTGTTGAGCTTCAGGGTTCCTTAGCTCTTCAACAATATATTCTTGTTCCATTATTGCTTTTGTATTCTCTCAGCCTTGTAGTTCATTAATTCAAGATGCCTATTTTTGACAACATTAAAAATAGAGGCTATCATATGCTGTTAATTTAACCCTCTTTTGTGTTGTTTTATAGAGCCAGTCACTGAAACAGCATCAGCTAAAAAAAACGAAGAATCTTCTTATAATAACAGCTGTAATCCCTTTAAAGGTGCACAGACTCCACAGCATTTGAACCCATTTGATGAGCCCGAACCCTGTGGAAATATAAAGGACTCTCCACCGCAGTCCACAAAAAGAAAAAACCTGAGACCCGTGGACATGAGCAAGTACCTGTATGCTGACAGCCCGAAGAGTGAAGACGAGCTGGACGAGTAAGCACGCCTGTCTTCTTGGCTCTGGTCGCAGTCCAGCCTGTGTGGTAGCGTAAGGAAGCCCTTGTGAAGTGTAACCAAGTGGTCAGCGTGTTTAGATGCTACCACAGATGATTTTGACAATCCTTTTTCAGTAGGATCCTGTCTCTGTTTTATAGAGATTTGTGGGGCGGGGGAGGGTGGATTTCATATATGAGTTCACTGTGCTTACATCATGTCTACCCTCCATTCCTCTCTCAGGCTCATGTCTTTTCCTTTATAAACACACACACAAAATCAACAACAAACCAAAAGAAGAACTCTGCTGAGTCTGATTCATGCCGACTGCATACACATGAGTCTATGGCTGATCACTTAGGCTTGGGCAACCTCTTGGGGCTTGTCTCAGTGGGAAGTTAAGCTTGCCTCCTTCCTTCCGTCCCTGAGTTGCCACTGACTGGGATGGGTCCTTGTAACCCTTTCCTCCATCCATGTTGAATGTCTAGCGGCTGGTCTTGTGCAGGCGACAGTGCTGCTGTGAGTTTGTGGGACGGCACCCCTGCCATGTCCAAGGGGCAGGCTCTTGCAGCGGGTCACTAGAACTTTCTTACTTTTTCATATCTGTCTTCCCTAAAGCAACAAATACAGAAGGCTGGTGATGGGATCTGGTTGGAATTCCAATTGTGTTTTCTCATCGAAACTCTATTCTAAATGATGTTTAGATATTTTTAATTGAAATTTGTAGGCATTTACTTCAATTCTGTTACAGTTCTATTGGGGAATCATAGAGTTATTTATGATAGATGAGAAGACTTGTTCAGACACTCGACGGCACATTGCCAACATTTCTCAATAAGAGACGACCATGAGCCCAGTGTAATCAGAGCTGCGATTTTACTCAGCTCTGGGTGTCACATCACACCCTGGAGTTGCATGTGACAATGCTGAGGACCCTGAGTGCATTTAAAGAGCAGCAACCAAGCTTTTACTTTCGCCGTGAAGCAATAGCACGGACTGGATTTAGCATCTCGTCTTAAGCAACTAAAAATGGAATAAAATATTTAAAACAGTGCTTTTGAGACATTGAACAAAAACTGCAAGGGATAATAATCCACAAGAGAACAGGAAAAAAGAGGGTCCCACAGTTGTCCTTCAAGCTCACATTTGGAAATGTTGATAGTCTTTGGGGGCTAGAAAAATTCACGCTATTCCAGGAAAACCTCCCTAAATTGGGGACACATAATTTGGATTTACAGAGATGTCACCATCATTAATAAACCAATGTGGTAAAATCTGCAAATTGAGCAGCAGAGAAGAGAATTTCAGAGCTCTGTAGAGGGCTCTTCTGCTTTAACTGAGCATTGATTGGAGCATCCGTGTGAGGAAATTGTCCATGAACAGTTAGTTATGGGAGATTTTTTAGAATGGAGCATAGTCTGTTTGTCTACTGAGCAGGCAGGATGATTTCCTAAAACACAGGACATGAGGTGTAGTGCTTAGACATGCTCACGGGTGGCCACGTTAGCCGACACCAAAGATCCCTTGGCTCTCCCCAAAAGCCTGACGGCAAGGGTTGAAGAATCTGACTAACTTTAAATAAGTTAAATACACTGTATTTCACAGAAGCCTAAAAATATTTAAAGTGAATAGCAAAATATGTAGTACCCAAAATGCAAATTTTATACTGTCTGACAAGCAAATTTATCAGGCACGTAAAGAAAGAGGAAGACCCGACTATAATAGTAAGAAAACGGAGTCACCGGATATGGATACAGAGATGGAATAGATGATGGGACTAATTAATAGGTACTGGAAAGTATCATAAATACGTTCTAGAGATTTGAGAAGGAACACATGAACATGAGTGATGGAGGAAGTGCACATTTAACTTACAGAGATGAAATTTATAAGGTGTCTAAAGGTGTGGGAGGGTTTTGATGTCATGTTAAATGTGATGTAAAATGCTATACAGAGGGAAACGTTGGAAAACTTAAAGACATAGCCATGGAAACCATTTTGAGTGCAACACAGGGGAAAGAAAATGAGTAGAGGACCAGAGACCTTCCTGACAACTTCAAGTAGCCTAACATGTGATTGGAATTCTAGGAAGAGGAAAGAGAGAATGAAAGGAACATAGAGGAAACACACATGTATGTACATACATGTGCACACACATGCACATACACATGTACACACATCAACACATGTGTGTGTACACACACACACACACACACACACACACACACACACACACATATATATATATGTATATATACACACACACACATATACCTCACTGCAGGTCCTAGGAATCTGATGCAAAAAATATCAAGAAAGTCTGGTGGTACATGTCTTTAATCCCAGTACTCGAGAGGCAGACGCAGGTGAATATCTGAAATCAAGGCCAGCCTAATCTATAGAGTGAGTTCCAAGACAATTAGGGCTAAAGAGATTCTTTCAACACAGAGAAACCCTGTCTTGAAGAAGAAGAAAAAAAAAGAAAGGAAAACAGTTCAAACCAGAAGACAGTGAGGTGAATTTTTTAAAATATTGGAAAAAATAATAATAGTAATTTTAAAAAGCCCAGGAGCCTGTCAACACAGATTTCTCTTTCCATCCAGAATCTGAAGGATCTGTTCTCCTCGTATTGGCTCTGTTACTCTAAAAGTTGTTTCTTGATAAAGATCCCAGACAAGAATAAAGTGTCATCAATTAGAAAATTGAGTGAATATAAAGAATGGAAGGCATAGCAAATGTAAAATACATTAATATGTGTATAAACTATATATATATATTATATATATAAATAATATGCCTCTTTTATTCTTTTCAAAAAAATTGTTTGGTTCTTAAATAATATGTTCTTGGTTTCATAATATGTTATGAGTAATGTGTATGGCAGAAAGGCTGGGCAGGAAAACTTACACAGTTTCATTGTAAGCTTCCCAGACAGTGGGACTTGAAAGTAAATCCCATTTTTTTTTTTTACAGATAGTGTAACCGTGTGTGTAGAGAATCACAAGGAGTCTCCACAGAGATACTAAAATTTAAAAATAAATCAACATGGTTACAGGATAGAACACAAATATACAAATTCAGTTATACTTATTTATAATGGCACCAGAAATGGACATTTTTAAAATACCATTTAGAGAGAATAAGAATATAGCTCAGTGGAAACAGCTGTGCAAGGGCCTGAGTTTGAGCTCCCCATCAAAAATAATAAATAATAATAATAATAATAGTGGTTATAGAAGTATCTAAAGCAGAACAAACAAACAAAAAATGATAAATTAAAACAAAGATGATCAATATCTGTACACTGAGAACCATGTACTTTTGAGAAAATAAAAGTGTGAATCCATGGAGAGAAATTGCATGACTGTGGTTCAGATAGATAGGTTCTTCCCATGAGATCTAAAGATCCAGTTCTGTATTAGAGTTCAAGAGAGGGGGAGGAAAGAAAGGGAGGCACAGACATGGGGGAGAGAGATAGACAAGGAGGAGGAGAGGAGAGAGACTGGTGGGAGGAAATAATCAGGGAAGTTGACTTGATTATGGAAACTGAGAAGTCCACCATCAGCCATCTGCAGGCTGTAGGCTTGGGATTGCCTGTAACATGGCTGGTCACATTCACAGGCTCGGGGGAACCTGTGTGGCCACCAGTGCAGGATCTAGAATTCAGAGACCAGAAGGTGCTGATGCTCAGATCAGGGATGCAGGAACATCAAAGAAAAAGACTGGCCTGGGTTCCTTTCTTTGTGGGCCCTTACTGAGGGTAGCTCTCCATCCACTCAGACTTGTGTGCCATCTTCTCTGGAACAGTCACAGACATACCCCATGCAGCGTTCTGCCCATTCTCCAGCCAAGGCAGCCTAGTTACTCAGCACAGCACTGCCTCAGTCAGAATTCCACTGTGCGTCTTCATAAGGTTTCATGCAGATACCCAGATACAGAGGGGACTCAGAATAGGAATTTTGACAAAATAAAATTTGAGAATATACTGTTTCATTTTAATTTTAGCTTACTTGCCAAAACATTGTTGTATTGTCTTAAAGATAAAGTATTCAAGAGATGGAAGGGAATCTGCAAATAAATCCATGAATGTACTACAGATGATATTTGGAAAATTTAGCAATGACCATTACTTAGAAAATAATTTTTCAAGAAATAGTACACCAACAATTATATGGTCATATGTCCATCTCTTAACAAAAATAACTGTAAATGTACTTCCTACCATATACGAACTTTAATTAAAATATAACATAAACATAAAAGGAAGAACAAAAACGTTAAAAGTTTCATTAGAAAGCTAGAAGACAATTTTAATAACCCTGGGGCTAGGCAAAGATTTCTTTTAAATAAAATAGAAAAAAAAGAAAGAAATAGAGAGGGAGGGAGGAGGAAGGAGGAAAGGAAATATAATTTGGGTTTCATCAAAATTAAATAAAAAAAGACATTCTAAAAATAAAAAGGCAAGCAACAATATGACATAAATATTTACAGCAAACTGAATTAGAAAAGGAGTACAATTTGAGCCCTTCACACTGAAAAAGGTAGCAAGTAGACTAGAAAGTAAGTCAGCTTCACTGGTCTTCAAGGACATGCATTAGAAGTACAGCACAATACCAGTGCACACCCACACCCGCTTGAGTGGCTACATTCATGGAAGACTGGCTGTAGTAAGGAGGGCGCTAGTTAGTTCCCGGCCACTTAGCCCCAAAATAACCATACAGATAATGTATTAATTAAATCATTGCTTGGCCCATTAGCTCTAGCTTCTTATTGGCTAACTCTTACATCTCAATTTAACCCTTTTCCCGATAAGGCTGTGGCTTATCGGGTAATGTTCTGTCTGGCTCTAGCGGGGCTACATGGCGTCTCTCTTACTCCACCTTCTTTCTCCCAGCATTCTGTTTAGTTTTCCCCACCTAGCTAAGTTCTGCCCTGCTATATATTTGAAGCAGTTCTTTATTAATCAGTGGTAATCATAGCATACCGAGGGAAATCACACATCA